GTGGTTAGTAAGGAAATTGTTCCTAAATTTTTTTTTGCTAAAAAAAAAAGAAAACCTTAATCATACACCTCAAATCGCATGTACTTTTTCTCTAAACGTGTTATTTCTTTATATGTAACATAAATTTCTTCAGTCAATATGTCCCTGCAATAAATGGAGATTTTAATATATTTTTTTTATCAATAATAGACTATCGACACTAGAAAAGCTTATTAACGCTAGAAAGCTTGTTACACATATTAATATTATATGATAGCGTATGTATAGATTTGCAATTGCAAACTTTTCAAAGTTGTAAGTGATTAGCTTCAATGGATCTTAAAGAAAAGTTAAAGCAATTATAACACAAAAAATATATAAACGTCGACGATTTGATTCATCTGTAAACTCTTCATGATTCTTTTCGTTATATACACAAATCAACAATTTCCAAAACGCCAAGCTCAAGGGCTACTAACTCTATCGAGACCAAAACCCAAAAAAAAAGTTTAAATTAACAAACAAAAAATGAAGCTCATCACATGAATCCAACAAGAGGAATGGGAACGGTAGCGTAAGTATTCCGGCGACCACCTTGAACTGCCGGGAGCGCCGGTGGAGGCTTGCGGAAAGCTTCTTCTACTGATTCAGCCACGGTGGCGACGAAAACGACGGCAATCTTCATCAATTCGATGCAAATCTCTAGCTTTTGAGACACCATATTGTGTTTAATTTGTAGTAAAGAAGAAGTTTATTTTTGGTTTTTTTGGTTTGTGTTTTGCGCTTTTGAGAGGTTTTTGTTTCTTCCGCGTCTCCTGATCTCTTGTCTTTGTGAAGTCTAACATGCAAAAGCCGAGTTATATATATATACACACACATCGGTCCATACAATTATTCGTATGGATTATGTTAAATTTAATAAATGGTTGATTGATATGCCACGTGGATTTTCATTCGCTAGCAACTCTTCTCGGAAGATGCTTTCGTTGTACTTTGGTTGATACGAAGAGCCATTATTGTTTGGGGGCATTTCTTTACTTACATGTGTAACTATATGTCTAACGTTATTAGGGCATTATTAACCCATGTGGGTGTATATATAAGGTATGTATAAGTGTGTTTGTATATATCTTATCGTAGATACGAGCATGCAAAAAGGGATTGTACGTACGATTAATAAGAGGAATGTTTATTTTTAATTTAAAAAAGGAATATTTATACAAGTGATTATAAATGATGATTAAGGCTTAGGTAAATTAATTAAGAATCCACGAAACCTAAAAGTAAAGATCTTTTTCTATAACTAGTTTTCTCCGGAGTCTAGAAATGTTAACTTACGATTCAAATGGTAACGCGTCCATGTATAAAATCCACGTGAAACCGTATGCTAACTATTGATATAATTTAATTATACTGTTTATACACGGTATATATGGAGTCATAATAATATACTACAAATTTGGTTGAGTTTGGATCAGGATGAATATTTAGCACCAATAGGACACGAGGACATTAAGACAATTTGATGTTGCTTGATTGAATATTTTAATAATTATTTAAATCAACTTGCGTGGATATAAATACTTTTAAATTTTATATGTTCCCTTTGCAGTGTAAGATCTTAAGTAATATATACATACATATACACCACATGATGTGTAAGTTGATACTTTGTTATGAGAATCAAATGATTCTCAATTCAAAAAAGCAAAAAGTGTTGATCAAAAGTGCATGAGATGATTATAAATTATTTCTTTATTTTTGAATGATTGGTAGTTGTTTATTACATAAAGTCGAATCTATATGTCATTAAGTTTGCGATATTTGCAAATAACAACATTGCTTATTGCTAAAACAACATGGTCTTCCTAATAGTAATTCATATTAGTATATAATCCAAACCGGAACCAAATCAAACTGACTCAAATTGAAGAAACTATCATCAAATCCAAACTATTGAATTTAATAGTTTTATGTCACTATGGTATTCAAATTTTCATATATCTAGCTAAAACAATCAATAAACTAAGCAAAGTGACCTAAAAAAGAGAATTAGGAGTTTTTGATAACAAATCAAAAGATCAGGGTGATTATGTAATTCGACTGTTTTCGTAGGATTGAAACTGGACATCAATAGAGTAGTCGATCGATGGGACGTACTGACGTAGCACCAAACACAGAAAATTAGTAAAGATTGTTGCGACTTGCAAGGGCCAAGGAGCATTACAAACGTTATTTCTCAAACTTTAAGCATCAAGGCTTAATTAAACAAAGCACCAAAATTAGCTAACCATACCTTCTAACAGCCCATGAGAAACAAGCCACGTGTCTTCCTCGTAGTTGTTGGATTCCTTCCAACTCGCTTTTCAAGATCAAACTTTATGTTATGTCTAGCTAGTGGTGATTATTTAATTTTAGTCCTAAGACAAAAATTCAAAGTAACCAATAGACAACACGCAGAATCTCATTACGAGATTCTAACATCTACATGAACTATTATATATCAACAAAAGTGGAAAACGCATTTAAAATTTTAACTTTCTTTTTGGTTCATCAAATAAGTGCGTAACGTACTCAACTTCTTCTAGAATTTTTTTTTTGGATAAAATGTTAATTTTATATATCAAAAGTTGGATATGTTTTTATTATAAGTGCTCGGCGGAACAGAGTGTTTCAAAAATGCTAAAAAAAGAGGTAAAAAAACTTAAATGAGAACAAGAGAGATTTGATCGTGAGTTGTTCTACAGTTACCATCAAGACAGATGAATAAACATCTGGTATATGTATAATCAAATTGGATTTATGATATATTTTTAAACTAATTCAGAACATTAGATGGAAATTTGATTAGTTTTACTTTATATTTTTAAACTACAAACCTAATGATGCCAATTGAAAGAAAAGCTGATAAATTTGAAAAAATTATTTTTAATTCACGATATATATGTTATCTTGGAAACGATTTAACTTGACGTAAATTTATAATTTAGTAGTTTGTGATAGTGTTATCGTTTGTATCACCAACCGGATTCAAACTCATATAATGTATGCTACTAACAAAAAATAATAATTTAATTTATTTATTCCTAAACTAAACTGATATTATGATGTTTTTAAAAATGTTATTCAGCAAATCACCAATCTACAAGTATCTAGGTATTACACTAATATTTAATGGTTTTGACAAAATTATTTTTGCTAAAGTGAAAAATGTTTTTGGCAATAAAATTTTCATAAGTATTAACAAAGTTTGAATTTTTTAGCTAATTCAGTTAATAATATATGCATTAAATTTTAAATATTCTTTTGAAAGACACGCACAAGCGAAGAAGAACCTTGACCTTTTTGTTTAGCAACTTGGATATGAGATCATGCGGAGTGTGCGTATTATATAGCATGCAACATGGAATTTGGTTTCATATTCAAGAAATTCAAAGTCTAATGTATACAATAAATAATATATGTAGATTACGGAAACGTAAGACAATCTTGTGATGCATGGCGACCTTTAACGACCACATCTTCCTTTTTGATTTTTCGATTCAATAATTTTATCCACCTATTTCGCCTAGTATATAAAATGACGATCTTAAAAAAAAAATGATGACGATCATCTGTATGTTTTAGCTTTTGTTATGTTCCACTCCAAACCAATTTGACCAATATATATACATTTATAAAGTGCACAAGTGCGTATACACAATAAATTTGAAAGGCAAATATGCAATTGCAAAACAGTAGATATACTTATGGATTTGATTTTACAATAATAGATATAGAACAATTTTCAGGATAAAATAGAATCACTTAATTCTGAGGAAAAACCAATAAATCTACAAAGATTTCTAAATTCTGTAAGATGTAAATCAACTATAATGTACTAGCCATGCACAAAAAGTTATCAAAGACTATGCGAGATAGTGTTTTGAAATTAGTATTAATACCGTTGACAACATAAGTCTCCTTTCTCAGCTGCTTTGAATGATGTGAGCCCAGAGTAATAACAGTGATGGCAAATCAAAATATGAAAATTGAACAAATTTTCATACCTCCAAACCTAAGTCATTTCACTCATTTAACAGTATCTCCTTGTTTTTACTTTTTGAGGTCCCGAATCAAAAGCAAACTTGATTACAATTTACATTTTTTCGTTAATATTAAGCTCATCCATATTTGGTTGTTAAAGGTTATAATGAAGGGTGAGGTTGATGCGCTTTTACTAAAGTCCATGCTAGCTATCCTGAAGTCGTAGAGTTAGGGCTGAGGAACAAGTTATATTAAAATATGAAATTTTACCATTATCTACAGGATGATAAACCAGTAGTCGGTTTTTTCCTTTACTGTCAAAATTTTACCGATGAAAAATATTTTTTTAAATTTCGAATTTGAACGCATCACATAAAACCCGTCACAAGAACGATCCTCAAGTGGAGAAATATCGATTTACAATCCCCAAACATGCTTACCTTCAACGTTACGATTCAGTCCAATGATTCTAATGACTTGCTTGTTTTCTATATCAGGACTGCCACACTCTTCTTCAAAGCACAGATCTTGAGGAATCAAGTATCGCATATCTTCTAGGAGAGGCACAGAAGGAGGTCGTGGCAGATGAAGTGAATGCAGCGATACTGTCTTCAGTTAGCAATCAGTTGCAATCCCCTCTTGAAAGACTCATTATACAGTTAGCAACATGCTGTCTCAATTACGATGGTGAATCGTTCTCGTTCGACGCTATTTAGTGGAATATATGTGTGATATTTGGGGACTGTGTGAACATAAACGTTTGATATGGTCTGTATTTTTCGAAAGAAACAATTGAGACTTGTTACTTATATAGGTGTCTAATAATCTGATAATATTTTGGATTTGTGATTTAGATTTGAAAGTACTTAGCTGTTTTTTTGTGCTGTTTTGCCTCATTACTATGGTAATCTCATCGTTTGTTTATAATTTGGGTGAATTGGTGGACTAACTATCAGCTTTAGACTATGTAGTTAGGCTTAACTGTAGGAATGATTAACTAGATCCTTGTCGGAGCTTAACGACGGAGAGATCACCGGCGGCGATGCTCTATTTTGTCAACTCTGTTTACACGTAGTGAACAGGTGTCAGTTTGTGGGGACACGTACTGAACACGTGTTTAGCTCTTTAACCCACGTGTATCAAGTATAAAAATCATACAAAACATTAGATTTGTTAGGCTTCCGTAATATGTAAGGCCCATTTGTGTGTGTGTTTTTAGTGAAACTCACTCGAAATTTTATATATTTAGTATTTGCGTTATAGTAAAGAAATAGCCGTTTACATAGCTTTTTTTTTGTTTTTGACGAAATTGCAAAGGCAGAATACAATATTCGAGTTAACCAAAATATTATAAAGATAATAGACAAAACTTCCAAAAAAACATATTATTACATAAGCAGATATATGCGCCATGTATTAAGAACGATATAGCTTAAAAAGTGAATTTGACGATACTTTCTGAAATAAAATTTTACTTGCTAACAGAAATTTAAATCAGTTATTTCCTTCTCTAGATATGCTCTTCTGTTGATGCGTGATGTATGTAGAGCTAGCAATTCTTGACTAAAGCTCGTAATTGCACATCGCGGAATAAAATCTAATGCTTGCGTTTAAAGTTTTGTTTCTACAATTAGATACCAATGATTTCGTATCCAAGTCCTTCTATGAGGGTTTGGCTTTGACTTTGTCCTCCTTGAATTCAGTACCTCATATTGCTTCTGATTATTGATGATGATTTTCTCCCTTCTTCTCCTTTTTTCCGACAATTCGTGCAATGGTCCTAAATATCCAAGTTGGAGAGAACTCGTCCAATTGATGAATAGAGATTTGTCAAACCGTTGTTGATACTTTTCGTGAAGATCGGTCAATAGATTAAGCGCTCCATACACTATGTCGAGACTAGTAATGCCAGGATCCCATATCCAATCATGAAACTGCACTTTCGCTTTGAGAAAATCTGATGCAGATCTGATATTGTAGAGGAAACGAAACGATTCATGTTTGAGTCGACAAGAGCCGTATGAAGAGATCTTAAACGGAATGAAGCCAACACAATTGTTTCTGGACAATCGCCAGAGTTTGGCCGGAAAAGCACCCTCTCAATGAGAGAGATAGGAGAAAAAAACATTGGAGTAATTGATTCAACAAAGAAATCAACATAAAAATCATCAAGCAATGATTTATTTGTATTAAACCTAATCTATGAAGTAGAAAGAAGAAGGGGAAGAGTACGACCGACGTCGGAGCCGACTTATTACAATAGCAAAATTTTTAAAAAATTATTAAAAACATAAACTCTAATTGACGACAAAAAAAAAACATATCCAACTATTAGTATAGTATATACTGTATGTATAAAGTAGTCTAGATAAAAATCCAAAAATCTGCGTAATCGTAACTTCGTATGAAAGTGCGTACAAATCAAGAACCCAAAAACACCAAAACAATTAAGTAATCAATTCTACATTGTTTAAGTAATTATCTCTTTCCAAGTTATTTTGTACCGGGGAAATTAGAACATTGTAAACAATGTATATTGAAGTAAACATTACCTTTTTTTTTTGTTAAAGAGTAAACATTACCTTTTGCACCTAAAAGTAAAACATTTACAGAGGTTACTTTTAAATTCATATACATGCTATAGCCTTCAGAGTCGTACAAAGTTGATGAATGATAAGACTTTGCCGAAAATAAGTCTGAAACGTTTGAGAGTATAAGTATAGACTGCATTTTTTTTTTTTAACAAAGAGTAGACTGCATTTAAAAACAATGGTAGTCAGCAATATTGTAAGTTTTATTGTAAACGCCAAACTCAAGAAAAACAACAGCAATTCTTAGCTTCCATATTTAAGTCATCATTGAGAATGAGTTTCTCTTGGACATATTTTATTTTTTGAATTGTTTGATTGTTAACGTCTTGTCTTTTTTTTGTTAATCCTTGTCATTGCTGTTATTCAAAGTTTTCTCATAGATGTTGTTTTTTTTTTTGAAGAAAATTCTTAGATGTATAGTTTGACAATGTGCTTTTTTAAATAAAAATAAAAAAGCTTTCTATTTTAATTACAAGGAAAACCAATTAGAAGGCCTATAACGTTTGACAATGTTATTACCGTTTATGCATGTGTGTTCTTTTACAATACTTACAGATTCCGACATTCAATTTTAAAGTTTAATTTGACATATCCTGATGGCTTGATGCTTGTAATCAAGATTGTGAACCGTTCAAGTTTCTCCATAAAACACCCAGCTATATCATCGCACTAATCTACCCGGCCCCCACTATTGATTTCCTATATAAACACTAAATTAATGCGAGTTCGGTTAATAACTTTCATAGTTCTGGTCAAATATTAACTTTTTATTCATTATGTTTACTTATGAAGAATCTCTTCCAAGAAAAATAAAAGAAATATATTGATTTATTTTATGTTAGATAATTATTTAGATGTATGTTAGAATCAGGAACGGATACGCAGAAACGAAACATACGGAAACAAATTTAAAATTAAAAAAATAAAAAATACTGAAACGTTTCGAAAACGTATATATTATATTTCGTGAAATAAAAAATAAAAAAAAGTTAAAACTATTCCGTTTAGGAAACATGTATATATATTAGTAAAATGTATATCATAAAACAAAAAAATATCAAAAGTTAAAACTATACTGAAAATTTTTTTTGAAACATCACAAATCCAATAATATTAAAATATTTTAACTAAAATATAAAGAACAACACTCAAAGTTAAATATTTAAAAAAATAGAAAAAAAATGTTTATGTTTTATAATTAGTTTTAAAATTTACTAAAATAACGAATAAATGCTTAGAACTTTTAAGTATTTTCCATCATTTATTTCCATATCATAAAACACGTTTCCAACATAGAAACAACGTTTCCATCGCG